TGCAGGTTGTTTTCATCTGTCTTTGGTTTAAAAAGGACATCTTAACAGCTTCAGTTTTCTTTCGTGGGATTAAAATATGATTTAGTTTTCACAAAATCTACAACAGCTGCTAACTCAAACCTTCTGCATTTTGTTCTGCCCTTTCACCTTTAATAGAGTTTAAAGAGGACAAATCATGCTCATTCTCAGGTGTATATCAGTATGTAGTGTCTCGACTGGGACATGTCTCCATGCTTTAATGTTCAAAAAGCTCTTTATTGTTCTCATACTGCCTGTGCTGCAGCACCTCTTTTCACCCTCTGTCTGAAACCAGAGTCCAGTCTGCTCTGATTGGTTAGCTGGCCGGCTCTGTTGTGATTGGTCAACCAGCTTAGAGAAGTCCCGCCCCTTAACCTATCACGTACAATGTGTTGGAGCGCTAGCCAATCGAAGCGCGATTGTTATATAGTGATGTCACTATGTTCCGGATGTAAACAAACGAGTCAAATGGAGGATTTTAGCCTTTGCAGACCATTTACATGCACAAAAACCTATATACAGTAACACACTACAAGAAAGGGAAACCCCCCAAGAATCTTGATAAGGCCTCTTCAAGATTGACGCCCTCTTACTGTCACAGGATTCATGTTTCTGTCTTCTTAGGGGTCTCCGTTTTGCTCAATTGCTTTCATTATTTGTTGTGTGAGTTTATGTTGGACGATGATGGGGTGTAGCTCATAGCTCTCTGACTTGGCAGGAGCACTGTTGTTTTTGGGAACGAGTCAAATGTTCGAAATATGCCCATTGAGGCTGGGTGTGTGGGGGGGGGGAGGGGGTCTTAAGCCTTTGGCGAGACCGCAGCTCCACTTAAAAATGTCCTGAGATGATATTTAGGAGTTTGATTTCACTGTTTGATGCCAACGTCAGCTCGGAGATATGATCAGTCAGTGAGGATGTGACTGGATACAGTGACTTAGAATAAAGTGGAGAATAAAGTGTTATCATTAATTGAGGTTGTTCACTCTCTGGAGACATGAGGCTGCATCTGCTCTGCTGAAGTGTCCATGAGCAAATCCTTAATCTCCATCAGTCCAAGATCTGACCTCTGAACTCTGATGTCCCTGCAGACAACTTGTTTAATTGTCAATCAACAGTTTTTACAGTCAATAAATAGTTTGTTAGCCAAAATATCAAGAATCCACATACTGTAGGTCCAGCCGGTCAAATGTGAGGATTTTCTCAGTTTTTCAGTTTTACATTATTGCAAACTGAAAATCTCGTGGTTGTGTGGACTGCATGTTGGACAATACATTTAAATAACCAATTAAGTAATTGGTATTTTAATCGACAATGAACGTTTTTTTACAACAAACAGACGAAGATCCCAAACTTATTCCATTCAAAATTATAAAAATTACGTTAATGACGACCAAATAATCTCAATATGTGTGAAACTTTAAATGTAATGAATCCACTGATTGTTTCTTGACTTAATTAAACACAATTCTAAAGAACAACACTGTTTATTCAGCTTTTATCCAGTAACTCTTTTAACAGCTTATCTTGTAGGCTTTAGTGTCTTTTGGGAAATCAAGCCAGTGGCCTTTAGGTTACAGGACAATTTAAATAACACTCTACAATATCCCACATTATTTAATTCAAACGTACTCTCATGATTGAATTGTTTTATTGGAACGACACTCCCCCTCCTCTTCCTCCTCCTCCTCCTCTTCCTCCCCCATCAGATTGCCTGTCTCTGCTTGCCCATTTCTCCCAGTCCCATAATTAAATTACTGGACCAAAATGGAACAAATGTGTTCCAGTGCTGTGAAACATGTCTGCAGTTCCCCTGCCAAACAAAAGCAGCCATAGCACAAGCAAACGGAGGCTACATTTCCGACATCTGTCTGACAAAATATCTTCCCCTTCACCCTCATGACCCAGGCTGTAATTATGATCCCTAATTGCAGCCTTTCTTAAAAATACATATTTGTCAGCCAGGAAATGTTTTCTACTGGTGTGATTCATG